CGATTGCCCGACAAACGCTGCATTCTGTGGTTTTCAGCTGCCTCCAGGTCAATAGGTGTGTATATCCAGTATGCCTCACAGAGGCACTCCTAGAAGTCATAGGGTGACTCCTCTGGCTTCTGGGTAATTAGGGCAACCTTGTTCATGTTGGTCAGCTTTTTGGCCCCTTGCCGCACTCCCTGGAGAAGAGCTTCTCAGTACCACTTGAGTGCCACTTGTCCTTCTGGTGCGTTGAAATCTCACTCTGGGTTGGTCTCAGGCACCGCTCGTGATGCCCATTCTTCCACATCTAGGGTGCCCACTGGCGCCCGTTCCTGCAGCCACTTCCTAGTTCCAATCATGATCCGACGCCGTTCTTCGGTACTGAAGAGAGTCAGCAGGAGTTGTTGGCAATCTTCCCACGTGGGTCGGTGAGTCCGGAAGATAGACTCCAGGAGGTCAATGAGGGCCTGCGGTTTCTCTGAGTAGGATGGCGTATGGTGTTTCCAATTCAATAGATTGGTGGTGGAGAAAGGCTAATATAGGGCAGGTTGCCCCAGCTGGATGGTTCCGTCATCCCAAACCTGCGACAGACCTCACATTTCACGCAGAGGCATCTGGAAGGCCGGGGCAGATCACAACCGGTGTACAAGTGGTGGAGATGCAGTCCCAGTCACCACTCTCCATACTGAACGCATGAAACTTATCAGCATGCACCTTAGAACTGTTGGCTTGGATTAGGACCCTCCCATGTTTCAACTGATTTAACCAGCACTCCTGTTCCCTATACTGCCTGACAACACTCCTTTTCTGAACCTTGTCCCTGCCCAGACTCTGGTCCCTGCTCTGGTTCCTCCCCTTTCTAGCGAGAGAACTTAGGCACCTCTTGGCAATCGCCGTTATGCTGACGTCGCCATAGAACCCCAGATTAGCATCCACTCAAACCCCATAGCTGAAGCTGTGGGGCTACCGACACAATGACCGCAAGCAGCCACTGTTCCCTCCACTCACATTCGCTCAGAGGTTACACATTCATTCCCTCCCCTGGGGGATCCCTGTCCTTAGGGGCTGATGGGGCTCCTCTTCTGTCCCACTGACAGGCTGACACCTAGGAGCCAATGGGGCTCCTCTTCTGTCCCACTGACAGACCTACCCCTAGGAGCCAATGGGGCTTCTCTTCTGTGGGGCTCCTCTTCCGTCCCACTGACGGGCCTACACCCTAGGAGCCGATGGGGCTCCGCTTCTGTCCCACTGACAGGCCTATCTTGGGCGGGTCCCAGGGACCCTACCTTGTCCGACGTCCTGGCCTTGGTCTGCCACTCCAGCTCGCTCAGCCTGACACTCATCCCGCCCCCCCCAGCCTCCTGCTGCTGTGGAGGCCAGCACCTGCCGGGAGGCCTGTCGCAGCGTGGCCTGCGTCGGTGCCTCTGCTTCTCCCTCAGCAAGGCCTTGGCAACAGCTCCACTTCTCTCTTCTTGGTGCTGGAGGAGAAATGCTGCTCTGCGCCCGCTAGTCTCAGCCCACCGTCTACCATCGCCGTCCGTTGTACACCGTCCCAGTGGCTTCAAGGGGCCAGCTCGGTCGGCTTTCCTGGTCACGGAACCAAAATGTTGTGGCAAGTGTACAGCTAGTGTTACAGCTCTTTACAGGGAAAGAACCGAGTGGCACACGAAGAGTCAGAAAATGGCCTTTATTCTTCCACAGCAGGCTCAGCACATCTAATGTTACAGCTCTCTTCCCGTCTTCCGATCTTCTGCCCCATCTGCCCCCTTGTTCTCCTCCTGCTTTTATACCCTTGGTAGGGCTCAAAAAGCATCCAATCAACTACAAGCTTTAACATCCAATCAAAAACAGTGGCATTCAACACTCAAGCAGCATGGCTGTAATCTAGGCGCAGCACGTGGGCCCCGGGTGGCTCTCTGCCGCGGGGCTTCCAACTGGCCACCGAAGCACTGGCCCCCGGACATGCAGAGCTACGAGTCCTGGTGCCCAACATTTTCCGTGTCAATACAGAAGTACTACTTTTATTCAGGACTAGTCAACAGGTTTGGAAATGACATTGCTGTGTAAGAATTCAAATTGTTTTGCGGATTTTACCCCATGAAACTAAATTTGGGCAGTAGTTAATATATTGTAATCAGCCAAAATTTGCCTAAGAATATATCCATATACTACTCACTCAGAGTATGTTCCTTTGAATTTTCTATGCAAGGAGATGAGGTTTTTTTCTGTGTCGTTCACTCTCAACCTAATCCTAAACACATGCATTGATAACTAGACAGAGTTAGGGACAGTTTATAGCAGAATAATCTCGAGGTATAATACTCATACATGAAACCTGTGGCCCTGACCTCATTAGCATTATGACCCAACCACGTGAGTTAATTGGCCTATTTTTACATAATGTGTGACTATAAATGACATTTCATTTTGCCTTGATTATAATTTCTGGCTCAAATAAACTGCAAGTGCCTAATTATATGGCATTGGCATTCAATTACAGTTGTCATTTATATGAAGTTACAAACCAGACTAATTTTCTTCATATTTATTAAATAAGTTCTTAAAACACACAAATGGGTATATAATTTGAAACACTATTTTCATTAAGAACTAGAGAGGAATTTGTAAAGGCTTTTTGGCAATAGTTTTCATCACGAGAGGGCTTAGAAATCATAGTCCTCATAGAACATTGAGTAACCGTGAATACAACCTGCTCTCAAAGCTTGCTGCTAATTTCCTTTCTATTAATCAAACACAATTGACATTCTAAGCTTTGGTTTACTTATATGTGAAATGGGGATAATATCTACCTCACAGGATTGCTAGGAGTCATTGATATAATTAGTCAAAGACTCAGAGCATTGCTGAGCACATAATAAATGTTGATTCTTTTTAATAATTTACAGTTCAATTTAAAGGTGTATAAAATGTTGCAAGCTCAGTCACCTTCTCCCACTCTTTGCAGAGAAGGGGCTGCCAATATGACCACAGGGTGAGATGTGGGAAGTGTATAGGGCCTCATAACAATTATCATTTGTTGAGTGCTTATACTGAACAATTAATTCTTAATTCTCAATTAATTCTCAATTAATCCTTAAAATCATCTCCATCTGAGACTTGCAAATTCAGGAAATTTGTTTATTGCTGCACCATATCTGCAGCAGCTCTGCAAACTCCAAGAGCTATCAAAGTTGGTGTGATCTGAGTTATATATAAGGAAACCACCTACACAAATAGCCATGGAAGTCCCCTGAAAGGGAGAGTTGAGATTGTCTTGGATTGGGCACAGATTTTCAGTGAATGAGTTTCTCTGCAAAAGTTTCTACTGGTAAATTAGCAATGTCAGCAGCAGGTATGTCGGGATAGAAAACAAAGAAATCTGTTGCAGGAGGGTAAAGGGGTGGGGAAAGTGTCCTAGGACACTTTCCTCTTTCTAGCTCTAGAAAATTGAATGCTTCTGGTGAAAAGGATCTTACCAGCCCTCAAAGCTTACTCTGGTTACTAAGCATTCCCAACAGCCATGACTTAGGGGCACTGAAGGTAAAAAGTAGGAAAAAAAGTAAAAAACAAAACAAAAAGGAAACAGTGGAGTACAAAAGGGATTCCTAGCTGTTGCTATAATCTTTGATAGCCTTGGTTATGTTAAAGAGAAGTGTAAGAAATTACATAAAGAAAAAAAGAAGTCTCTTTGATACTGTATTAGGACAGAGCAACCCAAATTTTTAAAAAATGTAAATAGCAAAAATAAGTTTATTACCTACTCAAATATGCTGTTCAAGAAACTACCATCTTCTTCAGCCCTACAATGTACCCGAAAGAGACAGTAGAAGCTCCTTCCTTGGAATAATCTGTAGGACGCAGCCCACCCCCAAGCTCCCAACTGGGGCTTTAGTCAAAACCACTCAACTTGTAACTTTATTGCTTACACACCTAATGAAAGATTTCCTTTGAACAAGAGGCTAAAGAATGTGACAATTATTGTAGACTATCCGAAATCTGAATTACCTAGGATTAAAGAAAATGAGTATGTTAACTATATCTGTCCAAGGCCATCTTTAGTAAACCCACCATTATGGACAAAACTCAGGCTTTTTGGAACATTGACTATGGTTAGGTTTACATTATGGTGGTAGCCTGTAGTGATGTTGGAAGCTTAACTCAGATACCAGTTGCTATAGCCATCTTCTTCCCAACTACCAATATCCATCTAGGAATAATCACTGCACTGGCCAGAGGTGAATGCATGTCAAAACTGAGGAATTCACACGTAGAATTTTAAATTTTCAGTTCTAAAATGTTGACTCAATTAAATATGCTTCCACAAAAGAACCAAGAGAGGATATCCTCAGCTAAAGCTTAAAAGGAAATGGTTGGAAACCATGAAATGCTACATAAAAACATGAAGTACATTTCATGTCTTTGATTACTTGTTATCTCAGAACATGAAATGCACAATTCAGATAATGGGTAGAACTTCATTCTACCTAAGCCTGCCCATACTTCTTACTTCTAATAAGCTTCTAAAACTGAAAATTCTTTATTAATATTAAAAAACAAAAACAGAAGCCATAAATTTAGTAGCTAAAGGAGACTATTTGTTAAGATGAAGTATTTATCATATCTATTTAACTTAGTGAGTACTTATGGTACAATATACCCAATTTAATACAGAAATTTACTTTACACAATAGCAGCAAAAGGATTCCAGATTGTTGTCTATTCTTCCCATGAGAAAAATGTTTCTTCCTAATTTATCATACAAAATACAACTTCTAACAAGTTTTTATTTATAAATAAAACCAAAGAACCAAACAAAAAGATAAAACCTTACACACATGAAAATCATGACCAAGCAGACTTAAATATTTTTAGCTATTGCAGAAAAGAAGTATAAATAATTTACTCAATGTTGTCCTTTGTGAGCCACAAATTTAGAGAAATCATGTAGTATTCCCATAATAGAACCAAAAATAAATACAAAAGGGGAAGAGAATACATTATTAAAAATTTGAGTCCAATTCTATGTAATTGGGAGTTTACTGGCAGAAACTCTAATAAACGTGATAACTGAAAACATGGTTTGGGGCTCTAACAAGCTCTGGATCAAAATTAAATTTCTACCTACTTATAATCACATTTAGTCTAGAAACTTAGGCTAAGGACCTAAAGAGCTCTTATTGTGGAGTTTTAAGATTTTTCTATGAAATATTACTTTAATTAAAATATATTAGTAACATTTGGCCTGGATATTGTCTATGACATTTTAAAACCCCACAAAATGTTAATTCTGGGCAATAACTTAAAGTCTTTAAAATTTCTAAAACCATAGAAAATCAGGCCAGATGTATTTTAATTGTGGAGGAAAAGTTAACAAGATTTTAAACTATCAAATCTGTGATGTTTTTACCCTTTGAACACAGTATGTAACTACTTCTTTTAAGACTATTTTGGAGCCAATCAACACCATAAATAGAAGATTATTATTCCTATCCTGGTTTATAATTTAATGAATCAATATTACCTTAGCCAACCACACAGGTAACCTGCATAATGTTAGATATATAAAACTGATACAGATATCATCTAAAAGTTTTGAAATATTAAAAATGAAGTCTTTCTGCATTTGTAAATTAATGACTTTAGAGGTAAGAACTAAGGTACTTAAAGATACCATAACATCTTAAAATCTATAATGAAAGGGAAAACTACTAATACTAGTTCTTAAAACTCACAAGTCATAATAATATAAAGCAAATTTTTCATTTTGATTTTCAATGTTTATACATGCAATATAAATTACAAATATGTATAACATTACAACACTATCCAAAAGAAAACAATGATGTACAAAATCTTTATGATAAATAAAATTATTGCATTTAATGTCATTTTCATAAAAACCAAAATCATCAAATTCCTTAATGTTATATCAAAGATAAATAATACCAGTTCAAATTAGAGGAAATGTACGCCCACACCAGCTTTTGACAACAAAAATAAGAAAGTTAAAGCCCTACAGTTTGTCTAATTTAAGTCAGATAACCATGGAAACAAAATAATATTAAAATGATTTATTTTATCATTACACACATTGAAGGAAATCATAACAGACAGCAGAATTCTATTCCACCATAAAATTATTTATACCCATTTATTTAGCTAGAAACATCAGCTTCAGAGGTACTGGTATATTCCATTTGTGATAATTTCTGTACAGCAAACAATTGTCTTATATTTGGAGCATGTTGAAGAAAATATTGTCTCATAAGTCTTTTTGTTTTTTTGAGTCTCAATCACTAAGAATTCAAGGTACTTTGGGAGAATCCTGGTGTCCCAGATGGCCTGATGAATGCATTAAAATCAAGCAGTGTATTTGCATTCTGAAAATACTCTTAAATCCATACAAATGTTGTTTGGGTTGTGGAGCTCAGATTTCTCCCACTGGCACTGTAATATCTGAAGAACATTTGTTATGAAAGTTTCACACCAATTTTGTTTTGTTCCTTCTTCATTAACCGCTGTGCTTCCTTTTCCATTTTCTTCCTTTGTTGTTCTGCTGCTCTCTTTTCTCTGTCTGCTATTTTCTGCTGCCTGAAAAGACACATAATCAAATTCTTACATTTAAAGAATATCACACAGGTAAAATGGCAAATAAATTGCAGAAAGAAATAATATTGCCTTTCTATTCTTATCAAATAAAGATTTCAAGTCTTGAATCTTGTTTTGAAAATTTCAATTATTTTCAAAAACAGTATTTCTTTTAATCCTGAGAATATACCTTGTAAAATAGAAAAAGTATTACTTTCTATTTAACAAATAGTTAAAATGAGGCACAAAGGCTAAGTGACTTGCCCAAAGTCAGAGGATTAAGTACAAGGATAAAGAATCCATAATCTTTTGATGCTTCTTCTTCAGATTATTTCTACTAAAATACTACTTCCATTGAGCCAAATCTTTTTGGGGGGATACTACTCAGAAAAGCTTAATATTTAGGATTAACTCTTCTTTTATTATTATAGTTAAAAACAGAATGAACATGGTGTACAGAACACACTCTAAAGAGAAAATGGAAACTTAAAACACACCTTCCACTGAGAAGCTAGAAACTTGATTTCAGGATTAACATTTGATCAGCTCTGCTAAGGGGCAGAGTGGTGAGTATTTCCCAAATATAACTCCACTAACCTGGAATCACTAAACCTCTGTCTTTATTGATTGATTTGTGTGGGGAAGTGGAGGTAGGAATGGGTGATTAAACAGGAGAGAAAAGATGGAACATAAGTTGGTCCTAGATCTGAAGGGTTAGGATATGAGAAAATAATTCAAGAAGTATGCAAGGTTGAGGAGGGAAGCTCTAGGTTACAACTGGGCATGGGACAGGCAACACTAAGTTATATGCAGAAAAATCCAGAGTGGATTAACTACATATGGGACAGCTCAAAATTGACCATAATGAGTAAAATGTGTAGGCAATTTTCAATCATAATTATAAATGGGAGTAGGCAGAGTTATGAATAACCAAAATTCAAGAAAGTAGATAAATTTATTTTGCCAACATTTTGACTTTCACCATCCATTAAGTTTCTAAAGAATAGTTAAAGAAAATCTACTTTTTACTACTCTGCTTACTTTCAAGAAAAACTGACAGTATGCACTAAACAAGTCACAATACCAGAAGCAAAAAGGGACAAAGGACAGAACTATAAAGAGCTGGCTAGGTTATAAACAAATATAATAATCAAGCTTTAATCTGGTTATTAGCTGTAATACAAAAACACAGGTTGAGCATCTCAAATCTAAAAATTTGAAATCCCCAAAGTACTCCAAAATCTGACACTTTTGAGCATGTACATGATGCTCCAGTAAGCATTTTGGATTCTCAGATTTGGATGTTCAACCAATAAATATAATGCAAATACTGTAGTTTAAAAAAATCCAAAATCTGAAACACTTCTAGTCCTCCCAAGTATTTCAGAGAAGTATACTCAACCTGTATCAAAAACTAATGTTTCTGGCACAAGAGACAATTTAGAGATCACTGAAGACAAAAAAAATTATATTTTATCTGTCTAGATTTATGTCCAGAATTATTAAAGTACTAGAATTTTCTTCCTTAATAATACTAATCACAGTATTGGTAGTATTTTAAGGTGGCAACAGGAAAAAGGCTCAAAGTTAGAAGATATGGAGTGTGGATACACTTCTAAAATGCTCGGTGTTCATCTGCGGGCAGTGATGTATGGAAGCCTCCATTACCCTTTAGCTCTTCTTATACAACTTGTAGCATAAAGCATGCCTATACTGATTAATTATCTAACTTTCCCAAGCTGTCATTATAATGTAAAACATTAGTTGTTGTTTTTTTGTTTGTTTTGGTTTTATATTGTTTTGTTTTTTGATTTTTCATTTGCTTTGTTTTGTTTAGAGAGGAAGAGGATAGGTGAAAAAGAGGTTTTTGTGTAGTCAATGTTAAGACACTTGTAACTTCATGGCATAAACTCTACAGGGCTGTCACTAAGATTACTAGATTAAAAATGAACATGCCCTTCCTTTATTCTTGTAGTTAATGACACTAATAATCACTAGAATCCTCAAAATATTTTGAAATATTCAGACTTCTATATCTATAATTTATTTTTAAAAATGCCTCTAACTCTTGTTAGGGAGAGGCAAAGATATAAAATGTAACCAAAATCTTTGTACTCTCCAAATTTCCTAAAATTAAAAAAAAAAAATAAACAGAATTAAAAAAGACATCTTTTTGATGATCTGTGCAACCTAAATGTTGCAGTTCACAATTTTACAAATATTTCATTTATAAAAGATGAGTTATACTGACAAAATAGGAACCAAACATTAAAAACTCTGTCAGTAAAGTCAACTTTTAAAATGTGACAGCCCTACTCCAACTTTAAAATGTGACTGAATTTTAAAATGTGACAGCCCTACTCCCATGTCAAAAAAAAAAAAAAGACTTCCTGAAAACAGAATAGACAAGATTTTTTAAAAAAACAACAAAAAAAGCATCAGCCATAATTTCCAGTTATTTAACTGCACCCTCTGCTGGTTGTTCAGGTGATTGTAATTCACTAACAGAAAAGAAAGGAAAATTTACAAAAAGTTGTTTTGTTATGATAATTGAAGGGTAATTAATTCATTTTCTATCCCTATGGTAAAAATGATCTTAATTTTAAAATTAAAAAAAGTTGTATTTTACTTTATTTTTAAAAATGCATGAGTAATTTAGATTTATTTAAATATCTGAGTTTTCATCAGTGATCAAATTCACAAGCTTTGCTTTTACGATAAATTATCTCTTTACTCTTTGGCCTAATGTAGCAGTACTAAGAACTAAGTTTATTGCTCACAAAAACAAAGAACGTAACAACCCCAATAAAAATGAACTTTAAAACCTCCAGAACAATACTCTCTGTAGAATGTGCAGTTCATGACTTATATTTTCTACCTCACAGGGCTTTTACAGACATCATTTAAGATATATGTACAAAGGTAGCGTGCTACATAAGTTATTTTTATTCAGATGTACAGTGCTGTGCACTATGCTAGACCATGAGGAAATAAAAATAATTATCTTCTAACCTAGAAGAATATATAGAGGTGGCTCACATTTCATAGTAGGATGTATTAAGATTACAATATGGTGTATATATGTAAAAGATTTCACTTGTCATTAATAAAATTATTCTTATGTTCCTATAGTGCTTAAAAGTCTTGGTTTCTGTGAGGTATTAATCATATAAAATGGCATATGCAGTCTGAAATACCCAAAGTCCCTATTATCTAAGGATCTATTGAGGAAGAATGAGGAAAAAATATAATTACTTGGCAGAATAGGCTTCCTTGACTTTAAACACAATAGGGAACAAATCTAGTTCTTCTACTCAGGTTGCAATGTAAATATCACTCAAATACCTCAGAACTTCTTCTGCTTGCCAGGCTGCATCATCTTCTTCTTCCCATGCATTGGTGCTTTCTTGCCAGGTATCTAAGTCACCCAATTCAGACTACAATGAAAAACAAAACTAAAATATTAAATAAAGAGCCATCCTTTCTCTGCACAGCAGTCAAGAAGAGTATCTTTTAAAAGATAACTCAGAATTTGTCACTCTTTAGTGGCTTCTCAACTTCCTATATAAGACACAAACGATTTGGTCCCTGATTTGCCTATAACTGAGGGTTTCCTTGGAATGCATGACATTCAGTGCTAAATAGTTCCAGGCTTTCTTCCAGTATTTTAGGTTTTATGGGATACTCTTTTATGTTAAGGTTTCTTCTTTTGCTGACTTTGGTTTGGAATAGACAAGAATAGAATATTACTTTCTGTTTTTCTCTCTCTCTCTTTAGTAAGATGAAGGGGTTAGGGATAGAGAGAGGAGACTGATCCCAGACTGAATCAGAAATGCTTGACTGGACTAATCTGTGCTGAATAGAACTGCAAGAAGCTGAAATTTAAAAATTAGCACAGTCATCTTCATTTAAGCATATGTAATTTATATAAGATTTGTCAGTGGCACTTACTGTCTCAATCCTTGGCAGAAATGACAAATCAGGCAAAATTTATTTTTATTAAAATACTTTGGGCCAGGCTCAGTGGCTCACGCCTGTAATCTTAGCACTCTGGGAGGCTGAGGCAGGTGGATTGCTTAAGGTCAGGAGTTTGAAACCAGCCTGAGCAAGAGCGAGACCTCATCTCTACTAAAAATAGAAAGAAATTAATTGACCAACTAAAATATATAGAAAAAATTAGCCAGGCATGGTGGCTCATGCCGGTAGTCCCAGCTACTCGGGAGGCTGAGGCAGTAGGATCGCTTGAGCCCAGGAGTTTGAGGTTGCTGTGAGCTAAGCTGACGCCACAGCACTCTAACCCCGGCAACACAGTGAGACTCTATCTCAAAAAAAGAATATTTCTTCTATATCATGCTTCCTTTTCCCTGTCCTACTTACTTGGTATCATCAGGCTTGTAACTACCTTCCACTATTACCCAGATAAGACCTCTAAAAGTTCATTTTTTTCTACTAAGAACCAATGCAAATTGTCATTCCAGGACATTTAGTTAGCTGTGGATGTGATTATGTATGTAAAATAACTGGTATCAATCTGTGAATAGATTTATGATGTTCTGTTTTGAGTACTTACCCCTAAAAATTAAATAAAATAATTTGAGTTTTCTTCCCCTGACCATAAATGTGGTAACATCCTCTGTTCAAATTCTTCAAATACTTTTGATTATCTGTTTAATATAAGTTTCTCAAAGTAGCATAGCTAAATCCATGAAAAGGAATATTTTTAAAGCTACTGTAACAAAGTGCAAATGAGTCTTGAAATATTGTACCAACTTATCCTCTTGACTGCAGTACATAGAAATCTTGTTTCCTTGTACCTTTGCCAGTACTGATAATGGCCTTCTTTTCTATCTTTGCTAATTTGATAAGATTTAAAAATGGTATCTTGTTATTTTACTTTAAATCTCCTCAAGAACTAATAAGATTAAATTTTTCTTCATATTATTAGGTTATGTCTATTTCTTGTTTGTATATTCTCCAATCATAATATTTATCCATTTTCCACTGAGGTATTTGACTGTTAGTGTACATAAAACATTTAGATATAAAAAAGTGGAACTATTAAGATCATTAAAAAAGGGTGATATCTGATCCTTTAGTAGAGATGGCCTTTTAAGTAAAATATGAAAAAGTTGTAAAAGATAAGATTGATAGACTGGCCTACATAAAAACTAAATACATCTGTCCATCAAAAACATTTAAACCAAATTATAAAGCCTACAACAAAGTGAAAAAGATGAGAGTCAAAAGTTAATTATCTGTAGTATAAAAAGAGCTCTTATAACAACAATGAATGTAGAAGGAAAAACAATGTGCAGGGAGGCTGAGGCAGGAGGATTACTTAAGGCCAGGAACTTGAGACCATCCTGGGCAACAGAAAGAGATCCCATCATTAAAGACATTTTTTTAAAAATTAGCTGGGTGTGGTGGTGTGTGCCTGTAGTCCCAGCTACTCTGAAGGCTGAGGTGGGAGCCCAAGAGTTAGAGGTTGCAGTGAGCTATGATCTTGCCACTGCACTCTAGCCTAGGTGACAGAAAGAGATATCACCTCTTAAAAAATAATAATAACAACAGGTTACCATTTTCTCCTACACAATAACCCTTTATTTTGTCTTCTTGGGAGGAAAATATGTGGAAATAGCACTGGAGACCTTCTCCATCTATCCTATTTACCCCTTTCCATCTCTGTAAGTGGCTATATATTTACAGCTTTACAATGAGCTATGTTACTATTATAATACCATAATTACAGTTAGGTGGCAAACATTGCTAATTCCATGGGTAGGCTGAACTACTTTACCATTAGGGATTAAACATATATGAGTAAAGGTTAAAACTGAGAAATATAAAAAATTAAACATTATGATGCTATGTTATTAAAAAAAATCTATGGTGTTATTAAGCTCTCAGAACATTACATAACTGCATAGGAGTTATCAAAGTTTGTAATTATATTTGTGAATGTGATCATTTATTTAATATTATGCCTCCCCAGCTAGATTGCATTCTTCTGAGGAAAAGACCTTTCCTGTTCTGCTTACTTACCACTGTTATTACTAGCACCTAGCATAGGATTTGGCATTAGTAAAAATAGTTGTTGATTAATGAATTAAAAACATAAATAAACATGGGTCCCCTGGGGGGAGGGGCCTTAGAAGCACCTGTGCAGTTTAAACAAATAAATAAAATATATAGATTGACAGACAGATGTGGTAGTTTAAAAATAGGTCCACAAATTCTTTGACACTCCTTTCTTCAAGAGGTAGAGGCTTGTATGTAGGCTGGATTTAGCAACTGGTTTCTCATGAATAAAATAACGTGGAGGTGACCAGGTATCACTTATTAAACCATGTCATAAAAAGGCACTGTAGCATTGCCCTTACCCATGAGCATCTGCACTCACTCGCTCGCTCGCGCGCTCTCTCTCTCTCTCATCATTGATTTTGGGAAAGTCAGCAGTTTGAGGAAATTCAAGCAGTCCCATGGAGAAGTCCATGGCAAGGAACTGAGGCTTTATATAAATGACCAGCATTAATTTGCCAGGCATGTAAGTGAGCCACTTTCAAAATGAATCCTTCAACCTCAGTCAAGCCTTCAGATAACTGCAGCTCCTTCAGATAACTTGCAGCCTAGCAACTAGACTGCAAGCTTATTAGAAACACTGAGTCAGAATCACCTGTTTTAATCACTTGGATTCCTAATCCAAACAAACTGTGTAAGATAATAAATGTTTATTATTGTTTCAAGTCACTAAATTTGGGGTTGTTACACAGCAATAGATAACTAATAAAGTCAATCAATGAAAGCTTACTTAAGCTTAGGTGGGGAGGGGTCTGGACATTTGTGTTTTTAAAAATCTCCAAAGCTGATTCTGATATGCTCCCAAGGTTGAGAACCTCAGTTGTCTACTTTCTTCACTACTTTTTCCCTTTAAAAAGCTTCCTTTAAGTCAAATCCATTTTAAATCAAATCACACTTTAAATATAAACTCTATGAGGAAAACAATCCATAATAATCCATAACAATCCAAAACAATCCATCCATAAAAATAAGCTACTATTAAGATTAATGTCCAATTTTAGTGGTAATCTCTTTGAAGTTCTTAAAAAAGATCTTTTCTCTACCTTTCATGTGTACAACAGGACCCTGATCTTAGTATCTGATGTAATTTACAATCTCATAAAAGGTTAGGATTGGTAAAACTCCAGATTAACTTCTCGCAAAATGCTAAACCTGTTTCAAAGTCACAGAAATACAAATACAATGTTCAATTAACTTAGAGTTTTTTTCCTCTTCTTTAAAGAAAACAGAAACAACCTAAGTCTTTCCCTAGATCAATTAACATACTTACAGATTGATGAATGAAAGGCATATCTTGTGTAGCTGCTAATCTACTAGAGAAACCTGTGCTACCATCTGGGATGCCAAAATTTAATGGTTCTCTCTTCTTAATAACGATCTGAAAGATTAATTGAAATAGTATTATAGGTATAATTTACATATCACTATATAAAAATAGACAAATTATCAACCAGAGTATTTATAATTACTTAAAATATGCTATATTTTTCTTCTTTTTAAAATTCACAATGTAAACACACACATACAAAAAGTATGTAAAGAGTACCAAAATTCCCAGGAAATTGTCACACAAATCTGTTATATACTAAAAAAAGTTGTAATTTACTTTAAAAAAAAATAAATTCTCACCTTCTTTACTTCTCCGCTTTCCCCAGACCCCCAAAATACAGTCAGTTTTTGTTATTGTATTAAATAAGAACATGTATCATATCCTGCCAAAAGTATAACCAGCTCTCTCAGTAAGTGGGATATTTATGAATACGTTAACTCTTTCTGGTCAGTAGTATTAGAATATATTTATTAGATACTTTGTAGCTTTTATTAAAAGCATTTCCATTCCAATCAATAAGGCATTATTATAATATACTAGGTTCCTACTGAGAGTAGCAATATACTTCCACAATACAAGGTATTCATTCATCTACTAAGAAATTTGGATTCTTGAAAAATACACAATTTAATGCTTTTCATCATTGAGCTATCTGAACACCTCAAGAAAAAAGAATGTAAATATTATTAACCTAAACAATATATAAATAAATGTACAGCTGAAATCAGCTGGAAGGTAGAAGAGAGTAAGGAACTGTATTAGTAAGTATGGGATAAATAACTTCCTTATTTTATAAAGTATATATGTAAGAAATATTTTCTATGTTTCAACAGGAAATGGAGCTGTGAGTGTGTTTTTCTGAAATAAGAGAGTGACTGGTGAGGTAAACTGGAATAACAACATTACAATATTTGAAGATGTGGGAAAAGAGGGAAGGGCAATATGAAGTAAATCTTCATTTATCATAGTATGAAATCAATGGACAATGTCTGTGATTGTTAAATTAAGAAATAACAATATAAACGTATTATTGACAGATATGATGACAAACACTAGAAGAAGCCCAAAGAACAAAGATTATTGAGTGGCTGCTTCTGGGTAGCAGAACTGGCCAAGAAGAATGGTGGGATAAAAGTCTCACTTCACATCATAGGCCCTTCTAAATTTTTTTATTTAAAACAGAAATACATGTACTATTTTGATAAAAAGAAAGAAAATGCTCAACCATTGTGCTTTTCCAGTAATTCCCTAAATCTCTAAGTGATCTTCCATATTCAACTCAAAAGGAATTTAAATAACGTGTGGATGACTAACACAAACTCACAACAATTATTCCTAAATTCTCAGGATATCAGTTTTATAATAGTTACATACCATGGAAACTACTTATCAGTTTATAGATATTACTGAACTATAAACTTGTTAGAACTGTTCCCTTATTCAAGCTTAGTCTTCACAGCAGAGACTGAAGTGACATATAGTAGGATTTCAATAAATACATAGATATAATTTTAAAATACCTGGGGTATAACTTAATAGATCTATGTCTAGGTCATGTAAATATGTAAAACTCTTATTTAATATGACAGAAAACACAAAACATTGATAATCAGAAATAGGCTTTCTAATAAATACTAATTATATAATCTAATTTTAACTACAGAAATCTGAAAAGTAGTTTAATATCCAAAAGCACAAATCTTTAACATACCTTCTGAGTTTTCCTAATAGTTGGTGTCATGTCCTTAAAATAGTCAGGCTCCAGTTGTTCCAAAGCATTTTGTTGTGTTGCCACATTCCCATTCCCTCCTTCAATCTTTACACTTGTAGGTGCATCTTCATCCCAGGAAGTCCACTCCTCGACATCTGTCTAAATTAAATTATCACCATTGTCAGCCACAAAGGGGAAACCAAATGAACATCTCACTAATATTTATTAGAAAAATGGGCTTTCTAAACATTGCCTTTCAAGCTTTCTTTATTTACAGGAAAATATACATTTTATATCACATAGCAAAACTAGATCAAAAGTTTAAAAAATATTTTTTTACTGTGGGCTAGACATTCTGATATATTCTGTTCTATTCTGTCCATTAAAAAAACAAAAAAAGTAAAACAAAAGCAAATGCTTTGTACACTGAACTAATACTAGAAGTATAGCTCACAGGAGGAGGATCAAAACTTTCCACCTAAGCCTCCTCATATTGATTGCCTGCTAAAACAAAAAAACCCAACATTCTCCACAGGATTTACATAAGAGAAACTCTCAAAACACTGATTAAATAATCCAGAATTATTCAGCAAAGAATCAACAAATCTCAATTCACATTGAAAGTTAATCAACAGATAGATGCCAACCCCAAAATGATGGAATTATTCAAGACTTGGAATTATTCAAGACTTTGCTATTATAAAAATGCTCCAACAAGTAGTGCCAAACACTGGAAACCAATGAACACAAAATAGAAAATATCAATAACGAAACAGAAGATAAAATGAGGAACCAAATACAAATTTTAGAATTGAAAAATAAAACAGCAATAAAAATCCTGACTATCAAATTAATTTTATGACCCACTAATGATCTGCAAACTAGCTTGAAAATACTATTCTGAAATATTTATTCAATTCCTCAAAAAAAAAAAAAAATTACCTGGTTAGGAACTGATGAATAATCAACTGTAGTTGGCAAAGTTATTTGGTCTCCACTTAATTTCCGTCCTCTGCCAGATCTGAAACAAAAATGAAGTAATTTATTTGAAGAACTACCAAAATAAATATAGTAAAAAGTACTATAGACAGTATTTTAGGCTTATAAAACAAGATCTTTTCAATTTAATAATTATTGATTAATAATTAACAGTTGCTCATTAAGATATGAGCAAAAGAAAATCATGTATCAGATACACTGTGAATGTCTTTAAAAATCTTGGCCAGGACAACATAACTGCTTTCTAGCTAGGGACTCAATTGTAGACAAACTTAGAAGGAATGTAAAACCAAAACCAAAAATACAAACTCCTCAGAGTGCTGTGGGTTCTGTAGGTGAAGTTACGGGCCACCTACACTCTTTTAACAGTGGCTTGACTTTTATGTTTTACATATTGGGCTTCTTCGTAACATTAAGTATTAAACTATTAAAAGACTTGAAAATCACTGGTTTGAACCAAACTGTAACTGAGTTTTAGGGAATTCAGATTAGTAGGAAGAGTACTACATTAAACAGGACATACTGTAACTGAGTTGTTAAGAACATAGGCTGTGGAATCTGTATAAATCATAGTTTTCAATGTTACTTCTATTATGTCTAGTTAGAATTACCTAACCTATCAGACTCAATAGCTTCATCTGTAAAATGCAGGTATTCAAATCTACTTCTGGCAAGGTTGTTGTGAGGATTTAATTAAGGGACATATTTAAAGCACCTGGACAGTGCCTGCTACTGTCCAGGCAAAACATTAAAAAAGACAGCCATTTGCTTCATTTCAAATAATCTATAAAGCATCTAACAAGAGATAATTGATAAAGTCAGCGTTTTTATTACAAGATTGGTAGTTATACTTTGTTTAATGGATGAACATAAAGGTAATATGGTCTCTTAATGAAATTTATGGCATAAGCCAATCTAGGTTCCTTCTAACACCTAAGAGAAACTTATCCTAACATATAGTATGTTTTCTTTAAAACTGAACTTATAATCAATCCTAAATAATTTGCATTGACAAGAGAAATTTACAGTGACAACAGGAATATTCTTAATACTTTTAAAATCAGTGCGTAATTTCTTATTCTAAAAGCAATCTATACTTAATAATAATTCTAGAAAATACAGGTGCAAAAAGAAAACACCTATAATTCATCACCACTGTTAACGTAATACTTCTTTTAACTTCCTGCCTTCTGATAATTAATACCCATTTTTATCCTGCTTTACCTAGTGAATTTCTGGCAATTCCTCATCATTCTCTGTGGATTTCAACACTTAGTTCACTAAGTGTTCTTCCCAAATTCTGCCCTCTTGGGTGATTTCAACAGTCAACCAACTGAATTTTCTATTTTTCTTGATTTCTCCTTCTCTAGTGATCATCTCTACTCTATTTTATCCACTTGTTCTCACTGCAATACCCTGGAATTTTTAATTTTTTTAAATCTTAGACCATCCTACTTCTAGCAATAAATTAAATGGCACTAAATTCTTAGAGTTTTAGCAGCTATCAAAAGGCCATTTCCCAGCCATCCTTGAAGGTGGGGGGCCATGACTGAGCTCTGGACAACAGAATTCTTGTGTACAACTTTTAAATTATGTCTTTTAAAAATAAAGCTGATTGCTGTCCATTTCCTCTTTCACTATATTCTCCCCTTGGTGTGTCAGTAATTTTTTCACAGTACCCTTAAGCCAAAAGGAATATCTAACAGTTCCACTGAATAGTTAAGGGCCAAACAACTTAATACTTATGTATATCCTAACTGTTTAGTAGACATTTAAAAAAAATACACACAAATTTAATGAAAAAGTAATTTTTGCATTTCATTTTTAAATAATCACAATGATTGTACTTACTAATGAAATGTATAGACTGTTGGACACTGCACAGCTTCTCAAGTCTTGGAATCAGATTGGAGACCGCCACTCCCATTTTCTGTTCTACATTAATTTTGGTGGAGTACTTGCTTTTAATTACAACCTAAAATTCTAGCTTTGCAGATGTCACCAAAAATGCAAGTAAACAAAAACTTATCTCAAATGTTCAAGAAAATCATCATAAAAAATGCTACAGGATTTAATGTTGCAAATATGAACTACCTTGAGTGAGGAGTCCATGCAGTGTTCAACAGATGTTGACTATCATTATCGCTATGTTTCAATGAAAACTTAAAATATCATATGGTAGACCCATGAACTTCATGTGAAGCCCTGAGGTGCCTTAGCACATAGTTTAGAAACTATAGCTCTAGGGTATGGTCCTGTGATGAAATAGAAGGAACTGGAGTCTACAGAAAACCTAAAGCAAAATGATTTATCTGCCCTGGGCTACTTGCATATTCTGGAGTGTTATTTAAGAGACAAATCTATTTTGTTTAGAATTTCTGTTAAAGTTTATTAATATAAAAATAACGTTCATATTGTTATATAGACAGAAATACCTACACCTAATTTCACCTACCAATTTAAAACATTCTAATAATGAAACAATTATGTACATCAAAGCTCTGTGATAATTATAATAAAGAAAGTTGGCTTGCTTGTTTTTTAAAATTCTATAGTATTACACATTTTATTTTAATGGAAGATGTAAGTATTTGAGAGATAAACAACTGAACCGCTACTTTCTAGATCTGAAGTAGAGAAAAAAATATTAAAAAACTACTAGGGATTAATAAATGAATCAAGACATTTAACTTAAATATAATTGACCCTGCCTGTTTGAAGTTATGAAAGTATCCAAAACCAGCAAGGAAATAAACGGGTAAGTCTAAACATAAAACTTATTTACCTGCATATTAATCTCTTTAGGAATGAGAATACTGTTGCTAGGCAGGTACAAACTTTAAATAACCGAAACTGTGTGATGGCCATGGTGGGAATCAAAACCTGTGGAAAGGGCACACACACACAAATAAATGCGTTAAATTGATTTCATAAGCCATACTCCTAAAGTCAAGGTGAAAAGTACTATTATGCACTGAGAAAAATCTGACATATTTTTATTTTTCTCTAGAAACTACAAATATAACATAGTAAATTTTAAAATAGTAATGGAAATCATATTAACAATTCAAGAAACTAGGTTTTTAAAAAGTTTTCAATAGTTGCGAGGAAAATAAACCTTTTCATTCTGAGTGCTTTTTGAAAATAATTTTACTTATTAACAAATCATTTAATAGAAAATTTATTTACAATTAAAAATCAAAAAAGTATAAAATAGTATACACTGACTCTTTTTTACCTTTTGAAGTTTGAACCATATGAACACAGTACTACTCAAAATATTTAAACATTTTAAATTTTTAGATAGATGTATTTTCTTATGTCCATTTTATAGATGAGGAAATTGAATTGAGAGAGGTCAAATAACTTACCCAAAGTCATATAACTTATAAATTGGAAGTAACTATAGAGCTCATCTAGTTCGGTGGTTCACAAATGTGGGGATCTGTTAAATAATGATACTTGGGCCTATGCTTAGTAAATCAACTAAATCATATTTTTTGAGGGTAAGGTCTGGTCATAACATTGCAATAAGCCAATTAGAGAGATTAAAAACTATTAAATTAAAAAGGCAGCAAAACCAAAAGAGAACAAATAAGAAATGAGACAAGCCAAAAACAAACTGCAAGATGATAGACTTAAGCCTAATCATATCAATAATACATTAAATGCAAATTTTCTAAAATCTTAATTCAAAGGCAGAGATTGTTAAATTGGATAAAAAAGGAAGAGTCCACTATATGCTGCCTAAAAGAAATTAATTTTAAATATAAAAACACAAATAGGTTAAAAGTAAAAAGATGAAAAAAAAATATTATACTAACACTAATCAAAAGAAAGCTGAATTAACTATTTCAATGTCTGACAGATTTTAGATAAAATAATATTACCAGGTATAAAAGTGGTGATTTCACAATGGCAAAGGGGTCAAAAAAAACGTAACAATCCAAAATATATGTCCTTCATAACAATTTTGCCAATATCACAAATGAGAGAGATTAATAATTAGAGTCTGCAGATATTAAAAGGTTATTGAAGAAATATAACAAATAACTTTATGCCTATATTTGACAAGTGAGATGCAATGGACAAATTCCCCAAAAGGTACAAGTTACCAAAGCACAACAAAAAGAAACAGATAACCTGAAAATCTCTGTATCTATTAAAGAAATTAAATTTTAGTTAAAAATCTTCTAGGCACAGATGGCTTCACTGTAAATTCTACCAAACACAGAGAAAGGAGTGATACCATCTACACAAACTGCCAAAAAACTGGAGAAGGAGGAATTATTTCCCAACTCATTATTTGAAGCCAGCATTATACTGATACTTATCCAGAAAAGAAAAGTACAGGCTAATATCTTAGGAATATAGATATAAAACTCCTTAGCAAAATATCACTAAAGGGAAACCAACAATATATAAATGGATAAAACACCATGACTAAGTAAGAATTAGCCCAGGAATGTAGGATTGGTTTAACACTTGAAAATAAAATGTAATTCACCATATTAACAGACTAAAAAAGAAAAAAACATGAAATCATTTCAATAGAGACAGAAAAAGCCTTTAACAAGCCTGGAACAAATGTAAATCAACATACATTCCTGATGAAAATTTGCAGGAAACTAGGAATAGAAGGGAACATTCTCAACTTGATCAAGAACATCTACAAAAAAATCTACGTAACATGAGACTTAATGATTAAAAAATTGGGTACTTTGTCCCTGAGATCATGAACAATACAAGCATGTCTGCTTTCACCATTTCTATTCAACATTGTAGTAGAGGTTCTAGCAGTGCAATCAAGCAAAAAAGGAAATAACAGGTATCTAGATTAGAAAGGAAGAAGTAAAACTGTGTTTGTGAAAAAAATTCAATGGACTCCATCATTAATTCTATTTTTATACATTAACAACAATCAAAATTGAAAGTTAAAAAAACATTTATATGAGCATAAAAATATGATACTTAGGGACAAATCTTAAAAAAAGACTTGTACACTGAAAACTATCAAATATTGCTGAGAGAAATTTAAAAGATCAGCATTAATTTTAAAAGACATTTTCAGGGCTAGAAGACTCTTATTGTTAAGATATCAAATCCCCTCAAGTTGAGCTAAAGATTCAATGCAATCCCAATCAAAATATCAGCAGGTTTTTCTGCAAAACTGGACAAGCTAACTCTAAAATCCATATGGACATGTAAAGAGCCTATAATAGCCAAAATACCACTGAAAAAGAACAAAGTAGAATAGCTAGCATTACCTGATTTAAAGACTTGTTATAAAGCTACAGTAATCAAAACTGTGTAGTATTGGAGTCAAGATACACAAATAGAGCAATAGAACTAGTATAGAAATAGACCCTCATACATATGAACAACTGAAATTTGACAAGGATGCAAAGTAGTTCAGAGGAAAAATGGTAGTCTTTTCAAAAATCAGTGCTGGAAAAACTGGATATCCATATGCAAAACCCAAAACAAAACCCAAAAAAACTTTCAGTACATCTCTGGCACTATTTACAAAAAGTAACTCAAAAGGGATTACAGACCTAAATGTAAAATCTTAAACTACAAAAATTCTAGGGAAAAAATAGAAAAAAATCTTTATGACTATGGGTTAGGTAAAAATTTTTCAGATAGTATACCAAAAGCACAATCCATAAAAGATTGATGAATTGGACTTCATCAAAATTAAAAACTTATACAATTCAGAAACACTATTAATAGAATGAAAAGACAAGTCACAGACTAGGAGAAAAATCTTTACAAAGCATATGTCTGGTAAAGGACTTGAATCCAGAATATCTAAGAACTTCTCAGAACTCAATTACAAACAACCCAATTTAAAAATGGCAAAAGGTCTAACTAGACACATCATCAAAGAACAGATACAATGGTAAATAAGTACATAAAATGATGGTCAACATCATCAGTCACCAGGAAAATGCAAATTTAAAAAAAAAAGGCAAAAACCATTACATACCTATTAGAAGGACTCAGACTGAAAATAATGACCATACCAAATACTGTTTTTCCCCAAATATAAGACAGAGTCTTATATTTATGTTTCCTCAAGAAGACACCCTAGAGCTTATTTTCAGGGAATGTGTTATTTTTTTTAAGTATGGTACAACAATCTACATTTATTCAAATATAGTTAAGTCATCTTCTTCTGGAACATCAGCATAACTCTCCAAACACTGAATTCCATCCTGAATTTCTTGCAACTCTATTTCCTTTAGAACCATTGGCCCCAATTTCTCATGTCGAGCAATAGAGCTCTCATGGGGCAGATGAGAAGGGCTGCTCCTCTTCTTTACTGCTTCGCAATGAAATGCTTGGGTTGTGCAGGCTTCATAGCCCATCACTAGGTCTTATTTTTGGGGTAGGGCTTATATTGTGCAAATGCTTAGTAATCCTGCTAGGGCTTATTTTATGGGTAGGTCTTATTTTCGGGGAAACATGGTACTAGTGAGAATGTGGAGCAACTGGAACTTTCTTATCAATAGTGGGAATGCAAAATTTTGAAAAATAGTCTAGCGGTTTCTTACAAAGGTAAACAAACATCTACTGTATGAAGCAGCCATTCTACTCCTAGGAATTTACCCAAAATAAATGAAAGCGTATACCCATACAAAGACTTGTACTTGAATAGCAGTTTTATTTTTAATATCTCCAAACTGAAAACAACATAAATGTACATTAACAGTTGAATAGATAAACAAATTGTAGTATATACAATAGATTACTACTCAGCAATAAAAAGAAACGAACTACTGTTATACAAGTAATAACATGGATATATCTCAAAATAATTACACTAAATGAAAGAAGCCAGACCCCCCCCAAAAGTATATACTGCATGATTCCATATACAGTATTTTAAAAACTCTAGAAAATGTAAGCAGATATATAATGACAGAAAGCAAATCAGTGGTGCCTTGGGATGAGGCAGGAAAGGGTGGGAAGGATGGATTACTACGGGGCTTCAGGAAACTTTTGGAGGTAACTGTACACTTACTCTTTTGATTGTGGTGATGGTTTCATAGGTATGTATATATATTCATCTCATCAAAACCAATCAAATTGTACACTTTAAATATGTGGTGTTTGCTGTATTTCAAATATAGCTCAAAAATATAGCTGTTAAACTATACGAGTAAGACATTTTTGAATAATATGTCACTTAAATTTAAACAAATTTCAGATTCTGGTTAGAATATTAAAAGAAGTCATTAAGACCATTATTGTCTTGTACCAATTATTTGTTACTCTTTCTGGAGAGCTAACCCAACTTCCATTAGGAAAATATGGCAATTAGTGATAAGAAACATTTCAGAATTTCTCGAGAACTCTGATTATGTAACAGCATTTCAATATACTCTAATAGCTAACTCTTACTACATAACAAGCATCTTCTTAATGCTTTATGTGTAATAACCCATTAATGCTCACAAAAACCCTGTGAAGGACTTAAAGCAAGTCAACTTCTTAAAACAAAAAGGAAAAACATATAACTTGATACTGTGACTTCTTAAAAAAAAGGAAAAACATATAATAACTTTTTTCTGAAATAAAGTATAATTGTACTTTAGTTCTATACATATTCACTTAAAAGGGAATGAAACCTAACTTAATAATTACCATGTAACCACGTTAAAGAGACAACTATATATTCCTTCTTCTTAAAATTGAAATTCTGACTAGTTTTTTTTAAAATCACCTTATAAAAGAATAAGATCAGCAATAAAATTTACAAATATCATCCTAGATACAAAATTATCCTAGATAAATACAGCATCCCCCTACTATAACACGCTATTTTAAAATGCATTTCATAGGGATTAAAGCAGAGAGCACTCAGTTTCGTTTTTAATTACTAGATATAAGCTATAACCTCCTAAAGTCTTAAAAATAGCATGTAATATAGTTTTCCAACTAATGAACTATTATACTGAATGAGTTAAAAATTATATAGTAAAAAATAGTGATCATCTCTGATGGGGGTATGAAAGCATTAGAGAGCTGATCTATTCTCTCAAATCTGGGTGGTACGAGCACCATATACTTGACTGCATATACTGTATGTTCTATCTCAATGTAAAAGTTCAAAACAAACACAAAAAATTAAAATAAAAGAAAACCAGAAAGCAAGTAATACCAACTTAACTGTCATGGTACCTGATCCTGATTGCTCTGTAGAGCCACAACTGCCAGTTCCTTCTAAAGACAAAACACACAGCTAGTCCTTTCTATTTCTTGAGTTAGAAAAGGCTTGTAGATTATTAAAGGTACAATTGCACAGTTCCAAAAGGTTCCCTTAGTAATGTCCATATACTTTTGTACATATGGAGGTTGTCTTTCCATATGAGCTGAACATACTGAATGCCTATGTCTGGAAGTGGCCTACTAATTGAGAGGACAGAAAGAACAGTGCCTTTTAAGTAAAATGAACCAGGAGAATATTAAGAATTTCACTGTTCCAGTCATTTAAATACTTCTGTCAAAAACATTCCCAATCAAAAATGCAATAATGTTGTCTCCTCCTTTGTCTCTTATCCCCTAACATTCAAATTGCTAAAAAAACTTTTGATTTCCCAATATTGCCCATATTCTTTCCTATTTCTACTGTAATCTCCCTAGCATAAGTATTTATTTTTTCTTGCTGGATTATTGTAAAATCTTATTAATTCTAGTATTTTTCTCTTACTGAGAAACTCACACTTTCTGTTTTATAATACAGTTATTTCTATATATTTTATCTGCCCTGCATAACCTTTCTCCAGTGGATTTTATTCAGTGGGACCTTCAGTTACCATTTGCAAAGACAGACATAAAAGGTTTGATTGCTTCACTATGAGAATGATCTGAACAATTAAGATGTTGAATAAGAGTTTCACTTAAAGTTGATTTGTCAAGAATGAAACTCTGTACCCAATAAGAAAAGCAAACTTTCCTAAATTAAAATTTAGCAACAAATTTCTGAAAAATTGTAAGAAAAAAGCTGGAAAAGAGACTGTAGAACATGTGGCACCTGGGGACAAAGGATAGAGTGTCTCAGTAGGAAATATTAGGATGTTTTGAAGAAAGAAGATGACATTTATTCAGGACTGGGAAGAAGGTTCGGTTTCAGGGATCTACATGAATGAAGAGTTGAGAATAAATTTCATATGGAGTGTTGGTAACCACAGCCATCACCTTCCCACAAATATTATTGGTGTCATTGTTCAATATGTATTTGTCAACTTAAATGACTTCAAAGGTAACTAACAAGAAATAAAATTTAAAGTTTTTTCCAATAGAAAAAAAGAAAACGAGACTATTATAGATTACAGAATAGAATTCCCTCCCTAGCAATTAAGAATATCTTCATTCTGTGGAAAATTTGTTTTGGTGATTAATGAAAGAGGAGAACTAATATTCATTGACTCTCCACTATGTACAAAGCACTACCTAAATATTAGCTCATTTGACCCATAAAGCCATCTTATGAAACAGATATTGTCTTCGTTTCACAGAATTAAACAGAGTAAGAGGTGTTTCCATGTTCCTATACCCAATGACTTGATTCAAACCTAGATCTATTTAATTCAAAAGCCAAGAATACCTCATTAACAATGAGCCTACGTTGTAATTCAGTGATATTATTATTTCCAAGATAAATATTCCAGCCAGTTGCACTGCAATGGGGAATATGCAACCAAGCAATACTTTTAATTTTTATCAATTATACTGATTTACAAGCAAGAATATTCTTTGGGACCTGTATATATTTAATGTTCTGATTCAATTAAATTAATATATATTAGCACCTACTACATAACAGTCACTTCCCTGGTGCTGGAAAATATTACCAACCCAGTACAGTGAAGACTTGTGTTCATTCTCAATTGTCATGACCTTGAACATGCACTTACTTCTGTGGAATGCAAGGGTCTAAAGAGGCAGGACCCTCATCAGTCTTGCACAGTTTGGTATTTCTAGGTCTTAGCCATTGCTAGGTACCTGGTAGGTACTCAAATATTTCTTGAATGGAAGGAAATTAACATTCCTTGAGCACTTAATATGCTTGAGACATAGTTCCAGAGACTGTATGTTCTATCACCTCACTGGAATCCTAAGGAACATCAAAAGAGGTAGGTTTTTCACTATTCCCATTTAACAGATGAGGTTGACAGTGAGGCTCAGATTTACTCACCCAGGATTTAAAGACACTGAGCCTAACCAGAGCCCTGCTTTTCCCCATATCATATTCCACTTAAGAACCCTTTTAATTATATGCACACTACTTCCATGTGATTTTTGAAGTGCCCTTCCATCACCAGTTTGACAAGTATGTATCTTAGGCTACTCTGCACTTGGTTGCTTTAAAATACTTTCTAGAACTGAGCAATATTAATATCTAATTTTAAAATTAAAGTTTCCTTAAAAATTACTAGGAAAATACAAAAATGAGATGTAGCAGAATAAAATTCAAAATTATAAAGCAACCTATTCTCACTCAAGGACTTCTGAAGAAATGAAATCTCTAGGAAATCAATAGGAATGAAAGCTCTGCTATGTCAACTGAAAAAGGTTTTCTTATAATTTAAAAAATGCTGCATTAGAAACGGATAGATCGAATGTACCTTTCCTAATTGTAATTCTCAATAAACTACTAGAGATCTTTTCAGTGGATTCGATTAATCACAATTCATAAAACAAGCCAAGCTAAAGTCTGTTAGTACACATTAAACAAGTCTTCAAGTGATTCAAAGTATTTTTAAGATTGTATTTCTGAATCTTTTCATAACAAAATTTGAAAAACCATTTTATCTAGTATAGTACAGAATATCCTCAAATTAAGTCTGTAACTCTCTGAAGTATGTTAAAAAATATCACAAAGTCCAAAAATAAAATTTACCTGGATTCAAATTTGAAAAACACAAGGTTCAGCAGTGGCAAGTAAGGTAAGAGGAAACAGAAGTGGAGTGTGAGAGCAGGTAGTAAAATCGAACATTCTGTACTATCTCTGACTTTCATCAGGCCCTCCAATGTGTGACACCACTGGGACTGTCACAAAGGCGGAGTAAGGTCTCCTGCATGACTCAAAAGGAAAGAGTTTCATAACTAAAATGGTTTAATTTCAGATTACCCACATAAAACTGGTTAATACAAAAAAATCATACCCACTGCACAGATGAGAAAAACAACATGAGCGTTTTCAGGTTACACAAGCTGACGCCTTGCCCAGGGCGTAATGTGAAATGCTCTTAAGTTGCCAGAGGTGGTTGCCAGGTGGGCTGGCATTTGGATTTTGGGAAAATCTGCTTTGAGATATGCCAGGCCTGTAAAGGGAGGGCAAGAAGGAAGGGAAAATTTCCCTGCGGCAGGGGGATTTGGAGACTGGATGTTTTCCGGGCCAGTGCCCCGCAGGCCGGTCTCCCACGCGTGAGCGCGGCATGGCGAAGGCTGCACGCCGGGGTCCAGCGCCCAGTCGCAGTTTCCACACCCCAGAGGTCACCCTGACCCGGAAACAGTACCAACAGAGTAGCGGTCAAGCGTCGGGGGAGGCCGCGTGGAGGGGCGAAAAGGAAGGTGGGAGGGCGGGAAGTGCAGGCTTAAGCGGAGGGCTGTCCGGGAAGGGCAGATGGTACCCCTAAGGCTGGGGCTGGGGTCGGGGTGGGAGTAGGGAGAAGAAAGCCCCTCGCGGGCGCGCGCGAACCGCACACACTCACCTGCCCCTCCCCCTCCCCGCCCGCCCGGCGGAGGCTCCGAGCTGCCGCGGGCCGCGCGCGCACACAAGGCGCGCGCGCGCGCGCTGCCAGTCGCTTCCTCGAGCTCGCGCTCCGCCCGTTCAGTCTCAGCCCCGCTCATTCAAAGCCGGGCGCGCGCTCGGTCTCAGCTGCCGCTGCCGGCGCGCAGCTGCCATAGCCGCCTCTCCTCGAGAAACCCTCCCCCTGCCCCTCCCCCTGCCACTCCCCCTTTGCCCTCTTTGAAGACGGTGCTCGGTTGTCTCCAGGCTCTCACTTCCGCACCCGGCCCCAGGTCCTGTCTGGCCCAATAAGCGAGAGGCTACAGGTCTGACGTCAGGGCTGGAAGCCAATGAGCACCTGGGGGCGGGGCGAGCGGCGGCAGTCTCGAAGAGGTTTGGTCCCGGGTAGCTTTTTGTGACAGTTGCTAGCTGTGTGGACTTTTTCCTGCCAGCGTGCCTGGGCGTGTGCCAGGTTGCCCTATTTTCCTCTATGCAGTATGCCTCCTCTCCAGCCTATCCCCTTTCTCTTTCACCCACAGAACCCATCTGCCAGATGAGGCCAAGGAGAAACTGTTTAGATTGCAAAAACTGAGGGATCCCCTTCTGTCTCAGGATGATTTGGATATGGCTAGACAGATCCCAATCATTCCGCCACCGGAGGGATGTGAAAATGTTGAGTTTAATTCAGGACTTAAGCTGCTCTAAGTACTTTTTGAATAAATTTCTTTTAAACTGGGAGTTTAAAAATGGCACTCGCTGCATCCCTGTGTTTGTCCCTCGCATGTAGCCTGGGTTAGCCATTCTTTCAACCTGAGATGTTCTTTCAGTGCTTCTCTCTTTGAAGCCAGACCTTTATTTTTTATGCTATTAAACGGCTAGAGTCCTTTGCTATTGTAGGATAGAGACCCTCAGAAAACTATTCTGCACTGTTGAAAAGTGACTGGCAAGGGAGAATAGAAGTGAATATGGTCAAAGGTTGAAAACAGTTTATGCAAATTGTTCCTTATACAGGTCCTTTTTTCTTATCTCTCTCTCTCTTTTTTACTGTAGCTGTCTTTGTTTTCTCACCCTAACCCAACACCTGCCTACCCGCTTAACTTTATCTACCACCACCCTCCCCACTCCAATCTGCACCGCATTTGTATTAATAATTTAATATGTCCATGTCCCAAAGTGGAAGAATGTGTTTGTCACTTTTGCTGTAGAATGGTTCTGTGTAACCTTGGATAAACTATTTAATCTTTTAACCTCTATTTCTTCATCAGGAAAATGGCTATAAAAGTGTCTACTTCATAGAATGGTAATGCTTGCAAAGCTCTTAGGGCAGAGCCTGGCACATAGCAAACATTCACAGATAAATAATAGCTGTTACTGTAGCTACTTCTACTAGGGGTCATCATTCCCAGTAACTACATTTCCCAAAGTTCATGAAACCCCCTGTAGTCCCTGAAACACCTGCTCTAACTTTCATCTCCTCTAATGCCTAAATTCTAACAATCTAAAATTTCCTATTTTTTTTTTTTTGGCTTTCCAAAATCAGTCCAAATAGCCTACATCCTGACATAAACATGTTTTCAAATTTTTTTCCTTAAAGATTTATATGTTTGCTTCAAATGATTTATACCCCATGATATTTTCTTCTTTTTCATGATTCTTCAGTTTTCTTTATTAAATTTGCCTTTTCCAAATGAAATGAAACAAAAGGTACATACCTTTCTACAAACAACTAGTTACTGAATACTTGTTTCCCAGTACAATGGCAAAACAAACAGAAAACAACAAAGCTTGTTAAAGATTGCAAATTTAAAATTTACTTTAGAAATATCTACAAAAGAATATTTTTAAATCATCTTTACTTATTGAATAGTAACCCCATAACTGGTGATCATAGGTGTTATTAATTTGGGACTTTGCTTGGGGACCACCTTTTGGGTATGTGCAATTTTAAGTACTGTCCTCTCCTAAACCTTTTGTGGGGTGAGAGTGGTTGACCACCAAATGTCAAAGGAAGAAACATAAAGTATACAACCAGATATATGAAAAATTTCTTCTGATTTCCCTTTACTCCATGGAATATAATTAATTATGCCTGCTCTGTGTCCAAACCATTTTGCCCACCTTAAAGCTTTGGATCAGCCTCTGCCTAATCACCAGCTTGATTTATTGACACTATCAGCTTCCAACCCACCACTTACTCTCCTTTTTTAAAGGCTATATGGGCTTTGTTGTTCTGAGTTCTCCAGCTGGGCCTGAGTCCTGTTTTGTCAACTGGCCTGGCCCAGAAGGTGGTAGCAAACTGCAAACACAGCCCTGTATATCCAGATCTCCCTCAACCCAGTTCCCTGGCTTTTCACCAAAGGATTTTTTTTTCCCTTCAAACACAATTTTAGACCTGCTGTTCTGACTTGGACTTTAATGGCTTTTTATTAATGAGCAGCTGTTCACAGTTGAATACAGATCATAAAGTCACATTCATTTCTTGATCAAGAAAAAGCTCTGTAGCTCATAGAATGACAACTTTGAAAAGATACATTTGAAAGCACAGGGATTTCTGATGATAATTTTAATGTTTTATTAATCTTTCTACTAGAGAATTTTACTTGCTTTCAAAATAATAAACCTTAATATTCTGGAAAATTATAACTTACTTTTTAATCTTTGAAATCACCATATAATAGGGTCAATTGCTTAATAAAGAAACCAAACAGTCTGAAGCAGGTTTTTTTTTTTTTTATTTCTTTTCTAGTAAATGAAAATTAACTTTTCCTGAAACATTTAAATAAATTTTTCCATAATAATGATTACCACAATTCACAGAAACTTTTATTGCTAAATACAGGAAGACCTAAGATTTAAGAACAATTTAGAGTTAACCAAGTTCCTTCAGAAGGGAGACTGGACAGGAAATGGAAAAAAATAATGCACGTCTTTTACTAGAACTTGAGTGAAATGAAAAGATAAGGTGAATTCTCATTTTATGTCCAGTAGTTAGGTTCAGCAACATAAAATTTCTTGGCTAGTGTCCACATTATTACTAGAGTTATAACAGTTCAACCATATTATGAATTAAGTAGAATTGATCTGAGCAAGATCTAGCAATCTAAGGCCTTTTATTATTTCTAAGGGTAAATGTGTTGAAATTCATAAACCCAACATAAAACAATAGTTTGTAGAATAATTTATCTTGTATGTAAGTTGAAAAAATAAAAATAAAACAATCCTGAACTAACAACAATGGAAGACTCTTTCAATGAACTACAGTATGATGGACATTTTGGCTTTGACCTCGAACAAGGTTGAGTCTCAGATTTCTCCTGCAAAATTAGCTTAATAATTCCTGCCTTATAGATTTGTTTTGCAGATTAAATATCATAATGTATGTGGAAATGTGTTGGAAACACAGAAATAGAATCAGTGAATGCTTTTAGGCATACAGGTTTATCTTATCATCTTCAAGTCCAGTAGAATCCTCTTTAAATCACATCTGGGAGTAGAGCTTCCAAGGAAAATAAAGGTGAATTTTCTGTCATTAACAAACAGAAATAGAAATGTTTACTAGTAACACACTTAAAAATAGGAAAAGGGAAGCTTGATGATATAGCCAGCCTGAAGTCAACTTGCCACCATCCACTCACCTCCTTTGCTCCTTTGCTGTAAGGAAATAGGGTGAAAGAGCAGCTATCAGAACTAAAGCACCTGCAACACTTCCCCCTCTCTCTAGGCATTTTCTCACTGCTCATGGGATATTTTTCTCATAACAGTATCTGTTGCCAAGTTTTGCCCATTCTTTCTTCTCAGTGTGCATCATTTAAGCACACCTAGATTACCAAAATTATCTCCTAACCCAAATAGTCTTTTGTATTTCATTTTTTCATTCCTCTAGGTCAGCTCAGTTCTTTACTATGTAATTAATGCAAATGTTTTTTAAGTATAGCCTTCTTCATAGTAACTGTCCTGTTCAAAATACAGTGAGATTTGCTATTGTCCATCAATGCAAATTCACTTGGTACAGTATGTATCTGGATTGCTGCTTTTTAAACACTTAATTTTGAACTGTGGTTTCTGGATCTCTCTCTGACCACCTCTGGCTCTTTAAAATATCAGACCTACCAGCAATTATTGTCGAAGGAGTTTGTCTATATATACTGTATATTTCATATGGTAAAAATTAGTCAGCTCCTCACACTGAATATTTATTTCTTGCTATAGTTCTTATTCAAAATGAAATCCTTTATAAGTGAGAATTAAATCCATGTTATAATCATACTAGAAATTTTTGGTGTGAAAAAAACTTAATATATTTATTTTCCTTTTTTCCAGAGAGAATATATATATATATATATGATCATCTATATTTATCCCATATATATCTATATATCATATATAAATATATAGGATTATCTTCCTAAATACATAACTTACTCTAAAGAAAAACCAAAGGATAATACCCTTGCCATGTATCCAGGCACACTCATAAATATCTTGCCCAAAAGAAATTATTTTTTCTGCTCATAGGCACAGAGCCCATTACCACAGCAACCACAATTACTTGGTCTATAACTGGGTGTGAATTTTATACACTGTTATTTGAAACATTAAGGCTGTAAGTCAGGATAAAGTGCAGTTTCAGTAATATTTTTAAAAGATTTCTTTATTTCAAAAATCTTGTAGGGGAAAAGTTTCATCATGCTGCCTATTCATTGGTTAAACAGTTTATTTAACACTTACCATGGGCGCAGTGTGTGCTAAGCAGCACTTTAAAGAAGTCAAAAGAACACATAACCTTTAACCCAAAGGAATTTCTCTAATAAGTCAGTATTCATGGGGAAATAGCATTCTTAGAAGACCGGTTTTTCCATGCAGAGGTTTCTAATTTTAGAATGATGGGATTATAATAACCACAGTATTGTATTAGGACTTG